TCTTCTCAGTAACAACATCATTGTAAGGTTTTTAAAAAAATCATTTCTATAATATGTTTTTGCTTCCTCTGTTGGATTGTGTTTTTGCTTCCTCTGTTGGATTGTAAAAGCAAATATCAGAGCCTTCTCTAATTCTTAAAGAAAGTTGTTTAGTTCCCAGGTAATACCAGTGTTTACCTTTCAAAAACTTATGTAAAATACATTTAAAGACAAGGCCATGTAAGCGCAAATATTTTAAAAACTTTAATTACTCTAAGTGTACATCCTATATAACTATATCTATATAAATAATTATCTATATAACTTATTATCTATAAAATTTATTATCCCCTAAATTATTATTTAACACAGGTCAATCCCATTGAGTTTCATTTTAAAGAAGGAAATAAGTACACTTGTAAGGAATTCTACAGTTGCAAATTCATTTTCCATAATATGATTGCTCTAATTCATTTAAGCCTATAAAGCTGATTACCAAAAACAGAAGAAACATATTAAACATATACAACCTGACAATAATTCAGAAAGACATGATTAATGATTGCAGAATTTTAAAGTTGATGTTATAGAAAATTTTAACTTCCTTCATAAAAAATACAAACCAGAAAAATGAACAATATCATTGATTTAAGTAGATAACAATAGCACCAAAAATGTTATTTATTAGATAATTTAGTAACAAAAAAAAACAACCCTGCTCTGTGTTTTGTTATAGTTGTTGGCGTCAATACACACTTCAGTTATAAAATTAGAATCAATTCAAAAACAGGAAGTATGTTTTCAAAGCTCAGTTTTCATAGTCTAGTTATCCACTCAGCAGTCTTCAAGGTTAACAACTGATGAAAAATGGCATATTTTGCTCATAGATGTGTATACACATTTATCCTAGGATTAAAATTAGCTGCTGGGTCCCCAGAAGCTTAGAAATAAAATCATGGGCTGAAAGAATGCTAGATTTGTGTATAAAAATGAGGATTTCATACTGGTTAGCCTATTAGAAGGTCAGGAACACGGTGAACCTATAAATAAATGTGATTACCATGGAGGATGTGAGCCTTTAAGCATTTTAGCTTCTGTGCTTGTCCCTAACTGATTTTATCCTTAATCCCTGCAGCATAGCAGCTTTATAGACTAGATAGCTATTTTTAGTTATTTAAACTCACTCTTCTAAATTATTTACAAAATACAATACTATATATATAAGGACATTAACTAGTTGCTATGGTTATATAATGTTAAGTGGACAAGGAAATACTGAGGTCAAATACATGATACAAAATGCATAGATAAATGTCAAAGCATCTTCAGAAAGCATGCATAAGCAAACTGTAAGCACCAAGAATTAAGTCACTTGGCTCCAACAATATTCTTCTCCTTCCCCTTGCCCTCTGATACTACTTTGTTCCAAATAGCAGCATAATAATTTTTCAGAAAGCTAATCAATCATAGCCAAAATAAAGCCTACACTAAGATATTCATTATAGAATGTTATTTTTCATCTTGTATCAGAATTAGTTTTTATATTCACAAGATCAGAACCTGGCATGTTAAATCTACATAAGTTAAAGGGCTATTTAAAGGAGAATTTAATGCTGGAAGGAGCTCAACCTCTTTATTCCAATATGATCTGCTTACTGAGTCTAAATGCCACATGCTTCATTAAGTTACTTAAAGGTTTAGTTCAAAGCAATTGCACAGCTTCTAACTTCCCATTGGAAACTGCTTGTAACTCACAAGCTGGGGCAAGTAATATTTCAATTATCTGAGCAAGATATAAACAAACAAGATTTTAGATACAGCTATCACTAAATTTACTGATGATTAATTTGTTGATATATGATGGAGAAATTGAATAGCCTATACGTCACTACAAACTCCAATACAACAGACAAAGTAGTAAGATGAATATTTCTATTTACCAATATATAACAATATTTAATACATAGACCTTTTATTTTAAAAAGCTTAAGAATGTATACAAATGTTTAGGACCTAACAGTTTCACAGTAAATTAAGGAGAAGTACATATGAATATACTGTGAATGATTTGTTGTTCAGATGACAAGTAGCTTGGGCACTTGATATAATTTTGTGAGTCTATCAGAAGAGAAAATAACCTCATATATGTAGAAAGGTAGCTTTTGACATTTCTTTCAATAGTGGTAATGACAGCAAGAAATGAAAATGCTTAAACAAATGTGTATTTTCCATTAACAGTTAAGCGCAAACTTATTATCAATATGTCCATCTCAAATTATGTATACTTGACAACACAAATTTGAATTGAGTAAATGCTTGGTGAATTTGCCCTTGGGTTTCCATAGAAACATGCTAGGTTGGATTTCTTTAAAGCTTGATTTTAAAGTAGAAAATGACACTATGTTAGTGTCCCAGAAAGGACAAAATGTATCTCATGAAGTTGAAGATTTTATTTGTTCTTATAGCAACAGTTCTTATCAACCATTTCGCTCATGTAGGCCATCCTGTATTTCTACCAGTTTTCTTCACCTGTTTGGTTGTTTCTTGCCATTTCCTCATTTTAATAGAGTAGCTTAAAAGTAAAGGGTTGTCTTCATTTGCTTTGTGTTCTCTACATATAGCTTAGGATTCAGCTCAAACTCTTATTCAATTAAAAAAAACATTCTGAATGAATAAAATAAGCCAGCTTCTCCTTCCAATGATAACAAAAAAAGTGAACTTTACTGTTGAAACTAACATGTGAGTCTTGACTTCCAATGGTTAACTAGATCTGTAACTCATAAGCAATGCACATAATGTTTCTACATGTCAGTTTCTTCACTATTTCTGGGATAAAAGAAAAACCCTGTATCAGAGGGTTTTTTTGTTGTTGTTTTAATGGCATTTACTGGGGCTTATTTTTAAATAATATAATTTAAATAAAGCGTCTAAGAGAATTTAAACAATAATCATCAATAAATGCTAGCAAGTATAATTATTATATTATAACTACTTGGGTTAATTCTTCTTGCTCATCATTGTGCTGGGTGCTCTGATTGCAGTCATTACTATAACCTTGTATTATACTTTCATTCTGCAGACCAAGGTACTGAGAGGACACCATGTACCATTCTGTTTCGACACAGCTACAATTGGAAGCCTATCTTGCTTGAGCCCAGGCCCTGGGATTTTCCCAATACAACTGTCTTGCACATGTTTCAAATCTCAATCTAATTTTTTTTTCAGAAAGCATTTTATAAGGTATAACCCTCTGATCCATCAAAGATTGTACTTAATTCCAAATCAACATGTTGTAAAGAAGAGGAATTTGTCTAGAATATTTTTTTTTCTTTTTTATCTTTTTCGGTTGTGGGGTTTGAACTCTGGGCCTGAGCAGTGAACCTGAGCTCTTCATCTCAAGGCAAGCATTCTCCCACTTGAGCCACAAGGTCACTTTCAGTTTTCTTGTGGTTTATTGGAGATAAGAGTCTCATGGACTTTCCTGCCTGCTAGCTTTGAACCACAATCCTTAAAGCTCAACCTCCTGAGTAGATAGGATTATAGGCATGAGCCACCAGCACCCAACTGTATTTTTTTCTTTTAAGGCAGTTTCCTTGATGTAGTACAGTTTCCTTGGTGTAGTGCAGCAATACATAGCATTGAATACCTGATGATTTTTTTTTAACTTGGAAAAAAAAGCATCTAGTTTTGCTTCAGAGCCTGGAATTTTTCTCAAGAGTTACCTGGTGGCCCCAGTGAGTTTCCAAAAAGTCATCTTTTCTTGGAACTGATGTTTATTCATTCTTTTGTTCATAGACTACAGTGGGAAAATTATTTTAAAAGAAGAATAGAAGCATGCTTTTCTGAGGATACAATGTGGTTTGTGAAAAACCAAACTACATTCAAGAGACAATAGTCGTAGACATTTTATTGGATAGCTTAACATCAGAGTGTTCAAGTTTATAAAAACACTCTCAGGCATGTGTGCATGGAATATAAATCACTGTGGTATTAGTAGTAACATGAAGACGTTACCACTACAGCAGAACAACATTGCCGTATAAACAAAACCAATCCAAACAACAGGACTGTTCAGTGACTTACCTAAAGTCACCAACCTAAAAATGGCATGTCGTTATTAATATACATACATCTTTTCACAACTTAAAAAATATATTTAAATCAGAAGATTTCCTGCAAAGACATTAACACAGCTAATAAAGAAGTAGACATCTGACCATAAAGCCAGTAATTAGACAACTCATATAAGAATGATAATACTTGAGTACTTAAATATGTCCTATCTATGTTTGTATAATTATGATGTTGACATAACTATAACCTGTGTATTTCTAAATAAGGTATTTGGAAAAGAGTGATAGAGATCAATGGATGCCTAGCCACTTTTATAATAACAGAGATACAATGCAGTTTTCACACAGTTTCTTATGGGCAGTTGTCAACAATATGGCCTATTGCAACACTGTTAATACTGAAGCAGGTTTCAGAATCCAACAACCTCCTGTTAAGCCAGACACGAATGAAATTCACAAATATATAATTGATGTTATTACTTTCAATATCGGATTTGGTTTTGTAAAGTGTATTTATTTTTTAAGGGAATATTATCTCTGTTTTCATAAATATGACTACTACATTATTTAAATCAAAGATAAGGCTTTACACTCTTCATTTAATTTTCAGGATAGTAAATATTAATGGTTATAACCCATATAAACAAAAGCGCCTAGTGTTCATTAAAATTTATAGGAGAGTAAGCTCACACTTCATAAAAATTTTGGAACTGTTGATAAACAAGAAAATATTGTGTGCTCCATCTTAGCTTTCCCCTCACTTTGCAATTTTCTGTGATGAAGACTTTATGGTCCTTGAAAAAAAAATATGAGAGGTCATTTAAACTACATCTATTTAAAAAAAAAACAATCCTTACCGCATTTTATTCATAACAAAAATTGAGCGCTTTAGAAATTGCTCCATTTGCAAAATATATTTATAACTTAACCAACATAAATAATTCATACCTCACCAAGTGAGTAATAACGCCTGGGGATCTGGGAGTCCGGATAGATGTTTTCTAGGTACCAAGAAAAGGGCTTACACTGCAGATTTTCTCTTAGCATTTTCCTGACTGACACATCGCCATAATCCACTTTGACAACACCTGGAATTTTTCAAAGAAATACAAACCAGTTAGTGCTATTTTCACTTAACCACTATGCCACTTTCTTCTTTGCCATCAATTTTTTTCTGTAATTATAATCCCTCAAATTCAATTGCATGTGTGGCTGCTATGATGTTACTTTTCTTGCTACCATCCAATTAGTACATTAAGTAGATATTTTTTAAAAAATCTTCCACTAATTATGACTTTTGAGATGCAAAGATTTATTATGAGATACTTGTCATTCTTAGAATAATCAAGTAGACATGAAATTGGTATGATTTAATATCTCATATTCAAAGTTTAACAACTGTGAAATGTCTCTGTTTCTCTTCAATAGTAAATTTAATGTTTTTGTTAATGCTCATATTTTCCATATGGCATTATTTATGCACCATTTAATTTATGAGAGATTTATATAAAATAATCATTAATACATTGTATATTTATATGTTCTAACTCTACCTTCTTTATGAACGTCTATCTAGATTTACTGTAGACCACTGCTTCATTTAATTTTTAGTATTTTATTTTATAGTGGAGTACAATCCACTTAATACCCTTAGAGAGTTTAATGAATTAGCATAAAGAAACTAACACAGACACAAATAAATTCATGTGTATATTAAAATTGTTCAATTTTATTTTGTAATAGAAGAATATTGAAATTAAAATAAATATTGAGTTCCTTAAAAGCATACTTTGAGGGCTGGGAAGGTGGCTCAGTGGTAGAGCGCTTGCCTTGCATGCTCAAGGCCCTGGGTTCGATTCCTCAGCACCACATAAGCAAAAAGAAAAAAGCCGGAAGTGGTGCTGTGGCTCAAGTGGTAGAGCGCTAGCCTTGAGCTGAAGAGCTGAGAGACAGCGTCCAGGCCCAGAGTTCAGGCCCCATGACCCCCCCCCCCAAAAAAAAAAAGCATACTTTGAGTAATATGGTGATACTGTAATTATTATGTATACCATTTCATTTTATGATACAATAATTTTCTCATTATAGTAATAAAAATGACTGACATGATTATATAACAATTATAAAATGTACTTATTTCATGTTATTTTGAAAGGATTTAGATATTTAAGGCTAGTAAGCAACCAAAGTCTGTCACAGAAAAAAAAAGTAAAAATAAAAACAATGTTTATGACACTGTATCTCAACCATTCATCAAAGCCAGTTAACAGCTCTGCAAACCGTAATCATCCTGAATATTTGTTATTTATGACATTATTAGGTCACCATTTTCAGAAGTGAGTTGCACTATCAACGCATGTTACTCACCAATGTACCTCCCTTTTTTTCTTTGAAACTCTTTACTTAAAAAAAATTGAGTAGGGCTGGGAAGGTGGCTCAGTGGTAGAGTGCTTGCCTCACATGCATGAGGCCCTGGGTTCGATTCCTCAGCACCACATAAGCAAAAAGAAAAAAACCGGAAGTGGCGCTGTGGCTCAAGTGGTAGAACGTTAGCCTTGAGCTGAAAGCTGAGGGACAGTGCTCAGGCCCAGAGTTCAGGCTCCACAACTGGACCAAAAAAAAAAAAAAAAATTAAGTAGCATAATTGCTAGAAGGCATAATGATGATACCTAAGCAGCAAAACTTCCAATGTTCTTTCAAAAGAACATAGTTAGCTGCTGTGCAGACAGAATAAAACAAGGCCTTTGCAAAGGCAGTAAAAATAAATAAATATTTCATTTTATAAGTTTTCTACTACAATATTCAAACTGGAGTAATACTTTCAATGGAAGAGGCTCTAAAAATGTACTTACGAATTGATATTCAAAAATATTAAATGTTATGATGATAGAAATGGTATAATACATAGTTTTCAAAAGTTTATATAGAGATAGCATCTGTTATAGAACAAGAAAATTCACAGGACTAAGTTTAAAAGTCAAATGTTTACTGTTCTGTTTTCTTTTTTTCATTTCCTTTTTTTTTGTTGTTGGTTGTAGGGCTTGAACTGTGGGCCTGAGCACTGTCCCTCAGTTCTTCCGCTCAAGGATAGTGCTCTACCAGTTGAACCCCAGCACCACTTTCAATTTTCTCATGGTTAATTGTAGATAAGAGTCTCACAGACTTTCCTGCCTGGGCTTGATTTGAACTGCGATCCTTAGGTCTCAACTTCCTGAGTAGCTAGGATTACAGACGTGAGCCACTAAGACCTAGCCTGTTTTCATTTTTGAGATACATTAATTTAATTATGGTTTATTTAAATTACAACAGTTCTTTTTCATTGCTTTAAGATTTAGCATTCCTGGTTTCAGAGTTTATTCCTACACTTTTTTTGGGGGGGGGAGGGCGGGGGTTGGTCCTGGAGCTTGAACTCAGGACCTGGACACTGTCCCTGAGCTTCTTTTTGTTCAAGGCTAGCACTTTCCCACTTGAGCCACAGTGCCACCTCTAGACTTTTCTATTTATGTGGTACTGAGGAATCGAACTCAGGGCTTCATGCATACTAGGCAAGCACTCTCCCACTAAGCCACATTTCCAGTCCCTATCCTATAACTATTTTATGAACAAATTTCTGATTTACAAATGTTTTTGCATAGTCCATTCATATTGCACATGTATGATGTGGCACAGTGTGTCTGATAGAGAAAAAAGAGTTAACTGAGAAAAGCTGTAACATTCCTGGTCCTACCACTTCTAAGCTGTCCCTTTGCATTGGCTGGAAAAACTGGGTGATAGCCTTTATAATGATGTTAGATTATTTTAGAAACGCGCAATACGGTGAGCTTATTTTAATATTTGATGAAAATAGCTTTCTCCCCTCCTATTTGTATTTTCCTACTTAGAAATGAGATATTATATATTGGACAATAGCAATCACCAAATGACTCTACACATACCTCCACCCTTCCAAACCCCTCCAGTCAGGAAGGGATATTCAACTGGTCCTCCTAATGAACTGTGGGGGAAGGGCTGTATGTCACTTCTAATCTTACATTTTGAAGCACAGCCATGAGGGAGGGACTACAATCCTTTCTCCCACTGCAGTGACACAAGAGGTCTTGTGTACAGTGAACATAGCTATCAGACAGACTGCAGGACCTTTGCTTCACCTGCATGATTTCAGTGACTGTGGAATAAAGCCTAGATTAACATATTCAGTTTCCATGACTGGAAATAACGTATCACTTATTTCCCAAACTATTTTTTTTAGCTTTATTTTAATGTCAAGATGCTGTACAGAGGGGTTGCACTTACATGAGTAAGGTAATGAGTACATTTCTTGTCGAGCATTGTTACCATTTTTTTCTTTTGGTGCTGGTCCTGTGGCTTGAACTCAGGGGCAGTGCATTGTCCCTGAGTATGAGCAAGGCAAGGCAAGATCTACCACTTGAGCCACTCTGGGCTTTTGTTGTTGTTGTTGCTGATGTTATTGTTTTGTTTTTGGTGGTTAATTGGAGTTAAGTCTTACACAATCCTCAGATTTCAGGCTCCTGAGTTGCTAAGATTACAGGTGTGAGCCACTTCCATCTGGCCTATTTCACAATTTCTTAACTACATCCTAAATCTCCAGCTTATCCAGTGATTTATTCTTAGTAATCTTACTAGGACCTCTGGTAGTTACCTCAAACTTGACAAGCCCAAAAGTTGATTCTTCAACTTACTTCATCTTTAAGGATCTCCATGTCCATAATTAGCATATATGTGCATCAACATTCTTAATGCAAAGTGACAAGTGTAATTGTCAAACCCCCCTACACACATTTAAGTCATCAGCAAACCTATTGACTCTTACTTTAAAACATTTACTGGTCTAACCCTCTTTCATAAATTTCCTACACTAATATTGCAATAATATCCTAGCCACTGTCCTGACATCTTATATTTCTCTACCTATATCTATTTATTCTAATATATATATAATTTATATCTATTTAGAATATCTATTAAATCATGTTATTCCTTCATTTAAAAGCTCTTAGTATAAGAAATGTACTCATTATCTTGTCCATGTAATTGTAACCCCTCTATACAGTATTTTCACAATAAATAAAAAACTCTTAGTGACTTTCTATTCTACTAAGACTAATGGAGCAAAGATTCTTCATGAAATGTATCTTGGCTCATATCTGAATTCACCATTGTGAGCCATGCTGGATTTCTTTTACCCCTTCCTTCCTTCCTTCCTTCCTTCCTTCCTTCCTTCCTTCCTTCCTTCCTTCCTTCCTTCCTTCCTTCCTTCCTCTCTCTCTTTCTCTCTCTCTCTCTTTTTTCAAGTATGCCAAGCTCTTAAATTGGGAATTCAAAGTTTTGACTTTTTTTAAACTTTCATTTTGTCTGGAATGGTATTAATCTTTACCTTTTAAAATCTTTTCCTTTTTTTTTTTTTTGTCAGTTGTGGGGTTTGAACTCTGGGCCTGGGCGCTGTCCCTGGGCTCTTCAGCTCAAGGCAAGCACTCTACCACTTGAGCCAGAGTACCACTTCCAATCTTTACCTTTTATAAGGTGCCTTTTCCTGAACTAAAGTTTTTACTCAAACATACTTTTTCAGGTTTACCTTGATTGATCTGCCTAAATTGAACTCTTCAGCCAACCATCCCTAATTATGCTGTATTTCTCTGTTTTGAATTTCCCTTTGATACTCATTAATACCCAACATTATGTTATCAATTAATTTATTCATTGTTTCCTCAGTAAGAATTGTCAGCCATTTATTTAATCCCTTGCAACCTAAGATACCCCTTCTGAGAATATATTGTAGAACACCGTGAATCCTAAATACCACCTGGAAAAGACTTGGCACAGTGCCTACTATATACACTGCTTAATACACACTACCTGTTGTTTGTGGGTATTTATTATTGTTGCATGCTTAACATTCCTTCTGTCTACTGGTAGAATGCCATTAGGATGCTTTTATGCTTTTGCCTTTAGTTCATGTGGGGTGGCCACATTCCTTTCTTTAGGATTCCTGCATCACCTGGAGCAAAGAGGACTAAATTCACATCACCAGAAAATCCTGTTAAAATGCAAATTCTGACTCTGCTGGTCTGAA